TCATGGTACAATAACATATTTTTTTCTGTAAAGGTGAATAAATTATGTTCATAGCAAGACAGTTCACTTTTCAATTAAAAGAAACTGTTAAAAAATCCTATAAAAATTTTGTTTAAATTTATTAATCATAATCACTTTTATCATTTAACGTTCGTTTTGCTAGGCTACTTTCATGGCCAAGGTTAGGCAATGTTACAATATCGAGTTGATAATAAAATGAATTTGTTTTTATTCATTTTAGCACAAATTCCCTATTTTTAAATTAAATTATGGCATTGCACGATTTTACGTTAAGTATTAAATCGGCATGACTGTTAATTAAAAATTGGAATATTTTAGTACTTCTGTAGAATTAATTATTACCAAAATTGAGTTAGTAACGTCTAGAAGCTAAATACCAAATATAATCATAATTGAGCCGCGTCATGACAAAACCAACATAATGGGTTTGCGACCAACATGGATCCAGACCAGCCTGCGCATCCGAGCAGTTTGATCAGGATCCATGCTGTTCGCTTACAAACCCTATAACAAGTAGAGAAACTGATAGCGAACAGCATGGATCCTGATCAGACTGCGCGGATGCGCAGGCTGGTCTAATTCCATGCTGGTCGCAAACCCATTATCATGGTTTTGTCAGTGATAGTGAGTCAGGCGTATGTTCATCGTCGGATACCCACGATTGATAAACATGTCTCATAACATGCAATCAACCGTGGGTAAAATGAATCGATTTGCGTCGATATACAGCAACAGGTGCGTAAAAAATCTACCAATGACATCGCGTTTAACAAAATCTATATTCTTCAACTGCGGAGGTAAAAGAACAATAAGAAACAAAATGGCAGCGCCCACAGTTAAAAGCTGTTGTACGTGTCTTGGTAAAATCAATGGCAAAAACTATCGCCAAATCAGTTCATCTGCAAGCAGATGAATGATAATGGTTCGGCCGTGGGTATCCGACGATGGCGTATGTTAAGTTTCGTATAAACATATTTGGTATACATATATAATTATAAAACATATTCAAACTTTTTAATGAATAAGACAACAGTAACATTTTAAGCGGAAACAATTTAGTTAACGAGCTCTTTTTCGTTTCAGGATAACATTTATCTCATGAAGTAATTTCATACTTTGATTTTAAAAATTGTACTTTTTCGTTGTTGTCATTGATAATTTAGACTGAAAGCTTGATTAAGACATTCAGTTTTGTATTGCTTTTAAAGTTGATTATAATTGCATATCCCTCACACACAATGTAAACAGTTGTTGACTTTAGTTGACCTTGTGCTGTGATAAAAATCAATTAGGATTAGATACAGTTGAAATCTTAAACCAATTGGATTCAAGAAATATCATTATATACTGTGTGATATCTCTATTTGAATAATAGGATTTTACTCATACGTCCGTTTTGTATTGAAAGTAGCACCATAAGATCTAACACAGCTACAGCTGCGATGATTCGACAAATCGTATATTGTCAGAGACTAAATAGAAGTCTTGTTTATGCGAAAAGAGTGTCTCAATTAGGAGTGTATCCATCGTTAGCATAATAGGTTATCTTTACGGGATGAAAGAAAAGTTTTTAGCCTGAACATTATAACTGTCCATAAGGAAAAGACAAACCAATAAGGTTTATAGTCTGTAACATGAATAGTTGATAATTAAAAAAGATGATGTTTCAGCAATATGTGGCCCGACAGTAAGCATTTCTATGTACTCGACATTATTCAAGACACGACACTTGCTAATAAGTGAAACCATTAGAGACATGCGAAGAAGCACTTCAACAGGACAAAATCTTAAACGACCATTAATGTGTATGCGTGACCTCTGTAAACTTTCTATTTACTATGGTATAATAATCTAACAAGTAACAGGTAAATTTTGATATTGGGATAAAGTAAATGAAAATAAAAGTAAAGAAAATAATGAATTTAACAAACAAAGTCCTGATATAATGATATCCTTTTTTCAAATTGATATTTAATACGTTTCGAAATAATGTTCAACCGAATAAATATGCTGACGCTAACAAAATAGCGTCTTTGTAGCACATTTTTATAGAACTTTTACTTACATGCAGCAGCCCATATCAGAAATTTATTAGAATTCATTTTGATTATTAATTGATTGGTAACCAAGACATTTAGATTTGTTTCAGGTTGATAAACTGATAAATATAAAATCTGGAATTCTTGTTATACAGCAAATATTTTAATGATATGCTATACATTTTGTCAATGATACCCGTATGCATAACAAGCACACTCATTAAAAACACGGTATTTACCACAGGCTTGCTTGAATCTATCTATTGGTTCACTGAAAGCAAGATCGGTCGGCCGGCCATTGAAAATGGTCTACATTGATCTTATTTAATCAGTAATATTTTGATAAAGGAAGCCATTACCTCTTAAGAATGGTAGAATTAATGAAACAAGCATATTGAGAGAAAAAAAGCTGTTCTTACAGTAATGTAAAATATGGTTATAAGAAATACTAGAGGTAAATACATGTACCTAAACGGATGGTTCTTTAGTTGAAATTTAAAAAGAAATGATTATCCAGATAAAGGTTGCTTAAAATAGGAAAATAAAATAACCAAAATCGAACTCGGTACACAAGTAATAATTTGTGTGTTTAATCAAGTGCAGTCTTGATATTTGCTTTTATTTATGACCTATGTAAGAATTCCCTATATGATGATTTTTGTCATTTGGGCATCAAGGGAGTTTATTTCATTAAAATGATAAATTTATTCATTTGTCTATCTTCACTTCTAAATTGTGACTGGTGATCGTTTACTATACAAGTGGAATCAAATTAAATATAGAATATTGATATCATTGCTATAAAATGTCTGGCTTTTGATCCATGATTCAAACTAGTTGCTTCATTTCTATACATTCTCTGACGATAAATATTTTGAAAGGTTATAGTTAAGATATAATGATTTTTTTCTTTATAACGCAGACAAATTTATAACATGCACTTCATTATTGAAATTTTAATTATTTATACAGAATCAAATATTGATAATTGAATTTGATAGCGTTTTCTTTATATTAGCAATAACTGCACATTGCGCTTGTCGTCAACATAACTATGCGGGAACCGAAAGATTTCTTTTGTCAAACTTCATGTTAACACTTTTTGTTCAACAGTACATATGTACCACGAAACTCTGCTATTGTTATACTGACAATACAGTTCTGAACGTATGAGCTGAACAACTAACAAAATTCAGCAAAATGAATGGTGACAGAATAACTCATCAGCAATGACACAATAAGTCATTTAGAAGAAACTAAATCTAATTGAACATTTTTTATGTAATCTTAATTCGACTTTAAGAAATAGCACATGTAAGGGTAATCAGAAATGAAAAAGAAATGTTTGGAATAAATTTTCGTTGTTCATAGCAATTGTAACAATTATGAAGAAATACCGTAAATACTTATATGTATAAAGAACAAAAAATAAATTGATAAATAAAGTGGAAATTGGCAAGATTTTTCAGGCATTCTGGACGATTTACTCATCTCTTTTAAATGGCTTTTTTGTCACAGTTTGATGAAAGGGTAACTACAATGCCGCTACACATAGAGTAACATATTAATTTCCCCCATGTTTCATTACATACCGGTATATTTAAAATGCGTTCCAGAATAAAAAAGGAAATTCCAGATGTCCTTTTTCCGGGGGTCTACCTTTAGGCACTTTTTCAGCAACAAATTTGCATGCAGAGAGAGATTCATAGTGAGACTAGAAAGATAGGGGAATAATTCCCCTATCTTTTAAACCTCAGACGAAACGCATTGTATCTGTCCGTTCTGCGGATAGTATTCCACTATCTTTTTATAGGGGTTCTAAGGATAATTTTGTAAATCGTTGTTCGGAGTTATTTGATAAATATGCAAAGAAGAATATTGTTCATACTTTAAAATGGGTCTTGTTGCTGGGTCGTATGGGGTTGCGTTCATTCAACGCCGCCTTTTCTTGTTGATCTTGTTTATCATATTTTAGTATTACTGTCATTTATGCAGTTCATTCTCCGGAATCGCAAATGGTGTAATACTGTTTAACGAAATGATATTTTTTCTCCATATTCCTCATGCGTTAGTATGATCTTTGCTTATAATTGTTATTTGTGTAGATGAAAATGTGTTCGTGATATATTTTTACCCCCGTTTATATGAAGATGATATGATCAATGACAAAATGGAGGGTCATAAAATAACGCAAACATTTGTTTGTTTTTTTTTCTTTTTCTGTGACAATAAGTTTCTTTATTTAACATTTTCCATCATACATCATGTTGTTAAAATGAAATATATAGTAAATAAACAACAAAAATAAAAATAAAAATGTTTAAAAAGTTATCTACAACTGATATTAATATAATAATTAATAAGCTAGTGGTAACGTATTTTTGCCAACTAATCCATTTTAACCAACTATCTTTATATCAAAATACGTATCCATTACCTATAATGTATTCATTATACAGTATTCATTTACATTAATTATCAACTTAAAAAAAACTAGTGAAAAAATATAATATTTTAAGTGAAAAATGAAAAATAATAATAACAACAAAAGAAATAATAAATGACTTCAACTGATTTTTCTAATTTTTTTTTTTCAAAAATATGTTATGTTTATTTGCCCGGGTGCTATGAAAATGAGGCAAATAAGCTAATGTCAGTTATTAATAAATAAATAAAGGGATGAAAAAAATAAGTAAATAAATAATTAAATAAATATATGAATGAATAAATAAATATACATATAATTCATTCATGTAATATAAGGTGATTGAAAAGTGATAAAAACATCAAATGGTAAAAATGTAATAAAAATGCGGTATATCATTATCATTTATATATGCAATGATGTGATTGATTGCTGTCATGAAAATTTATTGTTTGAATGCTGAGTAAATAGCTTAATCATTTAACCCGGTTCAGAGAGAATACAAAACTCATGCAACCAAAGTTATATTTTTGTGGTTATATATTGACACATCTTCATCTGTTAATTCTTTTGAAATAATAGCCAAGTTTATGCGGACAAATAACATATAACTGTTTGTTATGCATGTATGTTCCAAAAGTGCCAATTCAATGTTCTAAAATATCTTTACTCAAAGAAGTAGTAAATCTTTTAAGCTATCGTACAGACTCTAGTTGTAAACAAATGTCCATTTTACTGACAGTCGATTCCACATTAATCATTTCGCTAGTAGTCAATAAATACACTGAAGCACTAATAGTCCAACCGCATAACGCGGAAATAATACAAGTTAAACATTGTGTTGATTAGTTACACAATTTGTAAGAAGTTCTACATCAACTTTAGGCATTTCTTTAAAACAATAAATGCGTTTTTAAAAATAGTAATAATATAATATAATATATAATGTTTACCTTATGATAAATATTATTAGTTCAGTTAAACTTAAATAAATACAATCAAAAGAGACAATATGAATACATAACTGAAAATGAAAGTATTTTTTCATCAAAAAACAAAAGTATCTCAAAACTGTTCGGCCGTGGTAAACGAAGTTGCTTTTATATTCATAAGTATTTTCAATGATATGTTTCTTTTCGTTTTTTCACTGTTGTTTTTCTTTTTTTCTATTTTATTGTTGTTGGTGTTGTTCCTTCATTTTTTTGAAGAAAAAAATTAACTTGCAATAACATTTATGCATATAAAGGGCTTATAGTTTTATGTTTTATCATACAATTTTATACATTATTACTGCAACAAACGAAAATTAAGGCAAATTTGACGTTACTGAACATTCATGGAATATAATAAAAATAACTAACATTATTTTTGGAGAATTCTGATCTCATATCTATTTTTCTAACTGATTATCGAAAATCAAACACAAAAATAAAAATCAATTTCAATATAATAAAGATAATAAACATAATAAGAAATAGATGTGTATCAAAGAAAGCTATTGGATGATAAAAGCTAGTACCAAAATGTTAAAAAGGTTAAAGGCACAATCTGTCGCAGAAATCCATAATAATTAAAATGTTTAGAAATGTCAAACATGTATAATCAACGATTTAGAGGATGTAAGGTGTTTAACAGATGAGGAAAGTATCGCTGAATGTTCAGTAATATTTCGTAAAGGTAGCAAAATGTAATCTAGGTAGTATTTTGACTTCTACACGAAAAACGTATTTACACTAATTATGTCAATCGCAAAATTAGTATATAGAACATGAGATCGTACCACTTTTAAGAAACTGTAACAGGATACCAACTTTGAAACTTAAAAAACGTTTTTGAGAAATGAAACTAACCTCATGTTTGAGGCATGGTGTGCCTTTAATTGTAAATCCAAAAGATTATGAAAAAACCAGATATGGGTAATATTATATTACACAAAACACAAAGCAATGACAGTGCAAAACATAATATTCATACATTTTTCTGAATATATTTTTGCGGAATCAAATAATGAGTTTCATTCTGTAAAGAAAAACAAAAATAAAACAAAAATAAAACGATAGTTGAAACATGATGAACTGAGAATACCAATATCACTTCAGCAACTTCAATGTTAAATGTCTATGTCTGATGTTTTCATCGCGCATTCAAAATGTTTGCGATTGTTCCGATGCATCACTTTTCTAAACAACCATTTTTTATCCGTATTTTATTGTTATTCCTTATTTGACGCCGTTTTATATTAAATCCAGTATACGTCTTATTGATTTGTTGAATATCAAATCACAATATTTTCTTTTCTTCTCTAATCTGTAAAATAAAATAAACAATTTCATTTGATTTTTTTCCACATCAAATTTGTTCCTTAGATATGATAAAATAAAAGTCATACATTAATTAAAAAGTTTTAAACGATTAACTTCCTGACACAAATGAAACACATGACTGTGTGTCTTTTATAGGAAAAGTATTACTCGCTTTAATACTGACAAAATGTGAATGTATCGCATGCTCAATCTGAAATGTTTATTTTTTTTTCTTTCTAAATTTGTGATATAAGTCGTATAAATACATTGATTTACACTTTAAGCATAATGGGGTTTTCAAGTATATATAATTTAATGTATGTTATTTAATGCAAGGATAAACAATAATTTTTATATTATTTTCATCTAAGCTTGAAATGTTATTATGTTACTATTAATTCATAGACAAATTTTAACGAGTCAAAACAACATTAAAGGATAATTTTATGCAAGAAAAGCAAATATTGACACAAAAAAACAACAACTTATTAATTTGTAATAAATATTTTACAAAGTCTTATAACATGCGTAAATTTATTATGCTTGTTTCAAATTTTAAGAATTTGTGTGTAAGTTACAATAAATATAAAATTGTTAAAAATTGTTACAACAATTTAAATTATCATCACACTTTAGATGTTATGTTTGTAAATTAAAATGCATGGCACATAAGTACATGAAAATAAAAGAGAGGTGCCTAAGCTAAAAGAATAGTTAAAAACCGCCAAATAACTCTTATGAAATGAAAGTGAAAATTATGTGATGCTAAAAACAAATACAAGCATGAAAATAGTACGATGAATGTATACAAAACATAAAAATGGTGAGTATATGTACCTGATTAATTAACAATTTCCCAAGCACTAATCGATCACCGTCATGTACTTCTGATAGCCATGTTTCATTGTTTGTTATGTTTAGCTTATTAGTTCGAATCAGTAATTCAGTGTTCTGTTACACTATTTTAGTACACACTGACACTTTAAATTTTACACAACACGTATGTACTTTTCCTTCAGACTATTTTCTATTTCAACCGAAACAGCCTGTGGTGAATCTCTCTTCTACTACATAGTCCTACACATAAACTTTTTCCCCCAAAATTTCCTATCTCTGGTCAGTGAATAATTACACGGCTTGTCACTGTATTACTGATAGCAGCACCCTTGAATGTTTTATGATCCTATCATGTTTCAAGAATGTATAGTTTTAAGCTGGAAGACATAGAGAACATTTTAGATGTAAGGAAAAACTAAAGATTTAACTTTTTAGTGTAAAGAGTTACATACAATTTTTAATAATAGTTAAGAACAAAAAAATGGATTACATTAAAAAAAGGTTTTTAATCACTTACAACAACTCACAATGAAAATACTTGTGTAAATTACTTTTATATTAAAGGCATATCATACCTCAGTGATTTACATTATTTTTCTCTTTTTTTTCAGAAGGAGCAAAATAATGTTTAGTAATAATTATAATTGATTTAAAGCATTATTGAAGCTTATCATTCAATTTAGTAGGAAAAGAGATGAATGTGATTTTTTTTAAAAAAAGGTACCAAAATGATACAAGCAAAAAGTAAATAAAGTGTTTAAAGTAAAATTCTAAGTTCAAAGGGGAAATATCTCTTGAAATAAGGATGCCAGAGTTATGAACCTTGTCACGTGATGTTAGTTAATGACAAAGGACAATTATCTTAAGTCTAGAGTTGATGTCATTAAAATTTTATAATAACAAAGATAATTTCTAGAAATATATTAATTTTCAATAAATCTCTAGTTCAAAAATGAAATGGAGATAATTCTAGAAATACAGGACTTGAGTTATAAATCTAATTGCACCTGATATAGGTGTTGATAAGAAAGATTTTTTTGCCGCCGAAGGGAGGCATATTAAAAACGCACCGTCCGCTGTCTGTCTGGACATCCGTCTGTCTGTGCGTCCCCACTTCATTCGTGTCCGGACTATGACTTTGTCATGCATGGAATGATATTAAAATAACTAGGCATTAATGTCTACCACATCAAGACGATGTGTCGCGTCCAAGAATTACGTCCCTACCTCAGAGGTCAATGTCACACTAACATTTTGAAGTTTCACTTTATCACAATAAAAGTGTATAGATTCACACATTTGTGTTCGGAATGTACCTTTGTCATGCATGGAAGAATTTTAGAATATTTTGGCATTAATGTCTACCACATCAAGACGATGTGTCGTGTCCACTTATCACGCCCCTACCTCAAAGGTCAAGGTCAGACTACCATTTTGAATTTCACTATATCAAAATTAGAGTTTATAGTTACACACATTCGTGTCCTGACTGTAACTTTGTCATACATTGAAGGATTACAAAATAACTAGGCATAAATATCTTCCACATCAAGACGACATGTCGCGACTAAGACCCATGTCCCTACCTTCAAGGTCAAGGTCATACTTATAGTTTGAAGGTACTCATTCTCTCGAGAAGAGTTTAAAGATACACATTCATGTCCGGACTGTAACTTTGTCATGCATGGAAAGATTTTATAATTACTTGGCACATTTTTAATGTCTACCATATCAGGACGATGCATCGCAGCTAAGGTTCATGTCCGACTGTCCGTCCGTGTGTCCCACTTACACAACAATCATGTCCAGTATGTAACTTTGTCAAGCATTGAGGGATTTTGAAATAACTTGGCACAAATGTCTGTCTCATGACAACATTCTGTCGTGTCCAGGAACCACGTCCCTTCTTCAAAGGTCAAGGTCACACTTATATTTTGGAGGTTCACGCTATCATAATTAGAGATTATAGGTACAATAATAAAAAGAAATATATTATGCAATTAGTTACTTTCATCATCTTTTCTTTTCATACTACCAGTCCTGCGTGCTTAAGAAATCTTTTCGGGGGCATTCGTCACGTGTGTGAAAGCTCTTGTTGAAGTCTGAATTTAAAAAGGAAAATTCTGAGTATAAAGGGATGATGATTCTGAAAATATTGATGCTAGAGTTATGAAGCTTGCCATGTTATTGTTTAAAGTTATCAAATATCAATTTTTATTTAAACAAAAAGTTTAATGGGGGACATAATCCTGGAAATATTCATGCTTCAGTTATGAATCTTATCACACATGATAAAGAATTATATTTGAAGTTAGAAGTAGATACCTTAAGAAATAAAAAAAAGTAAGTACATGTAAAAAAAAAGTTCATGGGGAGATAATCCTGGAAAAAATGGTGCTAGAGTTAAAAAACAACATTGTCACATAGAGTTGATGATAAAGAACACATGTTTGAAGTTTAAATTCAATCATTTAAATACGCTAAGTACAATCCACTCTATCTAAGAACATACCATGACTATCTTGTTTACAGAAAATCAAGACATTAATTGTACTAATTGCCATACTAAGAATGTGACTGGGTCATCAAATATGAAAATGTTGTAATTGTATGCATACAAACAATAAACTTCTAGATTTACAGAATAAATGTGTATAAATCAAACGAATATTAAATTTACATACTCCGTCTTTGTAGCACGTTGTTCGATCCCTTTATCAATATTATAATTGGTATTTCTTAATTTTACCCATGAAATATGGTGCTATATCAGTCAAATATATTTCATATTTTTTAAAAATAAATATGAAATATAAATATGAAACTGTGCGGAGTCAAAACTCATTTTTATTTTCAGGGACTTCTTTCGCCATTTTGTTTGAAAAATCGGATAAACACAAAAACAATTATTTGTTGAATTTTGCTTTGAAAACTATCTAGAATGATAGAAAATGGTGTACTGTATTGAAAACTCAATATAAACATTCTATTCTAAGATTTATTTACAAGAGTATTCACAGAGATGTTGCTACATTGCATGTGTAATCTAAACTGTCTATCAAAGAGGGCTCAGAGAGAGAGTTCTCAGAGTGTGCATATTTAATCAAGTAGGCGGAGCTAATCTCTAAATACTAACAACACTACATCTCCGCCTTGCTTAGGTTTAAAGTTCACTGGTCAGTCCTAATGAAGGACATTAATTATCTGTCTGACAGTAATGTTATTGTCTCAGATATCCATTGATTCACAGGTGTTTATTTCACGCTGGCGCTGCCACTACAAGTTAATGATTATTTTATATCCAGTAATGATAGTCTCTTGATTGCTATCACATTTAATCTCAGTTTATGTTCTAGAGGCAATAAGTCTAGAAAGTTACTGACTGTCCGTAGTCCAATAAATTAACTAATGTCTAAACTGTGTTGAGTAAATTTTCAATGTTTACAGAATACAAACAGGTTTTATCAGCATGAAATAAAACAAATTAGAATAAAGATTGAAGATAGAATCTAAATGATACACAAATAGTTTAAGTATCAAAATGCTAATTGAATGTTTCATTTATACTTGTATTCCATTTTCCTCTGGAGATTTAAGCACATAGTAAAGAATTGTATGATTATCAGCAGTTATATTAAATCCCTGTTTTGAATGTTTGTGCACACCCACAGTTAAAATAATCGAACTCGTTTGTTTGAATGAATGTTCCTTTTAAGTTGAAGCTAACTTTTAGTGGATTATTATGCCACTGTTTAACACTGTTTATACATTTATTCTTCTAAATAGTCATATATATATCATATATATATACAGGTGGTTTTCACTCATTTAGCTAACTTTTAGTGGATTATTATGCCACTATTTAACACTATTTACACATATAATCCTTTAAATAGTCAGGTGGTTTCTGTGCCTTTCAGATCTTCGCAAAGAAGTATACTCATTTGATGTAGGTAAGGTTTCAAACATTGTGCTTTCATCGGATTGTGATTCTATGCTCGTTTCATTGTAAATTGGTTCTGTATTGCTGTGTTCACCCTCGACATTTAAAGGAGAATTTCCATTTAGACTTTGGGTCTGAGAGTTGCCGACACGTTTAAAATGTGATGAATTTCTAGTGATGTGTTTGTCTTCTCGCTCTGCCGTTTATCATTGATCCTTTTTTCTTGGTTACTTCATACGGTTTAGGTCGTATGGAGTTGTGAGTTTGTTTTTGTTTGGTTTGCTTTACTAACACACTGTCGCCTATTTTTAACTTTCAGTTTTCCGAGCGTTTCTTCGTTTATCAGCGTATTCTTTCATCATTTTTTGTTTTGATTTTCTGTCATTTTCTCTGGCCTTTATGTCATTTTTAGATTTCTTTTGTTTTGAACCATGGGAATTTTTGATGTTAATAGGCCTCCCGTAGAACAATTGTGCAGGAGTTTCGGCCGTTGTCCCATGTGGTGTAGATCTATAATTCCTTAAAAATGCATACATGTCTTGTTTTCCAGTTTGTATGGTGCACATGAGAAAGCTCGTATTGACTTGCCTATGGTTTTCATGAATCGCTCACATTCAGCATTTGCTTGTGGCCATAATGGGGTTATTTCCTATGTTTGAAGCCCATGTGTTTTTGCAAAACTTTTTAAATAGGTGAGAGTTCATAGGACTGCCGTTGTCTGACTTGAGAATTTCAGGAATTCCGGTTTCTGAGAATATTTTGTCCAGCACAGGGATCACTGTATTTCCTGTTATGGAATTTAAGACTTCTACGAAAGGAAACGTGAATATTCGTCAATTAGTACAAGCAGATATTTTCCATCTGGAAATGGGCACAAAAATCCAAACTTATCATTTGAAATGGGTATTTTGGCATATCACTCATGTTTAAAGGTTCATGCTGTTTTGAATTTGTTGCTGCTAAGCACGGAATGCAGCTTTTGCACATATTTTCAACTTGTTGATCCATGCCTGGGAAGTACACTTTCTCTCTTAACAGTTGGTTTGGTTTTAACAATTCCCTGATGACCTTCATGAGCTAATGATATCGCTTTATCTTGCAACTGCCTAGGAATAACAATTCTTGATTCATGCAGTAAGATTTCACCTCCCTGGAGATTTACTACCGATAATTCATTCTTACAGCGAGAGAACGTATCAAATACTTTATTTTTATTGGTGTTGCTCCAACAACCCGTCTTTATGGATTTTAATGGCCATTTGGAGGTCATTGTCCGTAGAAGTTGCCTGAATAATTTCATTCATGTTCATTTGCAACAGGTACATCATGATATGCAAGAAAACTTACATATTCTTCAGCTATGCTTGATTTGCTGCCTTGTCCTGTGTCTGGATGTCTGCTTAGATAATCTGACATGTTTGACTCTCCAGGTTTGTGCACGATCCTGAAGTCATATGATAACAGACGCATTCTCCAACGTTCCAGTCTCTTGCAGATCCAAGTTTTGATTTAGGATTATTGTAGATATTCTCAAGAAATTTTGCATCAGTTATGACTGTGAATTTATGTCCAAATAAGTATATGTGCCAATGTTCTAATGACCAAACTAATGCTAAGTTTTCTTTCTCTTGTTGACTGTAAGAGCTTCGTTCAACATCTGTCAGTGATCTGCTTGCATAACACACAACTTTACCTTCTTGGAGCATAATTGAAGCTACTCCGACTGGAGATGCATCTGTGATTATTTGTGTTTCCTTATTAGGATCAAAGTATGTCATGACTGTATCACTACTCAAAATAGATTTTTCAGTTTGTTGAATGCTTCGTCTTGTTCATTTTGCCATGCCCATTTTGCCGTTTTTCTTTATCAGACGACGTATTGGCTCTGCTATAGTGCTGTAATTTGGGATAAAGCGTGACACGTAATTTGTCATTGCTAGGAAACTTCTGACTTCTGAAAACTGTTTTTGGAGGCTGTGTCTTTTTAATTGTGTCAATTTTCTTAGGGTCTGCTGACATTCCATCTTTACTGAAAATGTACCCAAAGAATTCAAGTTTTTGCTTATTAAACTCACATTTGCTTTTATTCAAAGTTAAGTTTTTCTGCTCAAGTCGCTTTAACACTGCCTCAAGTCTTCTGTCATGTTCTGCTTGGTTGCCAGCCCATATAATGACATCATCGGAAATGTTTCTCACGCCGTTCAGACCTTCTAGAGCCGTACTTAAAGCATTTTGGAATATTTCTGCTGCACTATTGATTCCGAAACTGAGGCGTTTATATCGTCTTAATCCAACATTGTGTTGTAAATGTTGTAATGTTGCGTGATTCCTCTGACAGTTCTAATTGGTGATATCCATGATTTAAATTCGAGTTTAGAGAAAACTTTGGCACCACTTAAAGTCCACAATCATGTCATCGATTGTTGGAATAATATGCCTTGTGCGCTTTATGGCTTGATTCGGTAGCCTCATGTCGACACATATCCTTATTTGGTTGGGTTTTTGGCTTTGGAGTTACTACAATGGGTGATACCCAGTCTGTGGGACCCTCAACTTTTTCAATGATATCTAGGTCCTCAAGCCTCTGGAGCTCATTTTCAACTTGTTTTTCTTAAGTGGAAAAGGTATTCGTCTGTGTGGTTGCGTAACAGGTTGAACATTTTTATCCACATATAGTTTGACTTTTGTTGCTTTCATTTTTCCCCATGCCTGTGAACACGGTTTGGTACTTTTTTTGCAGAGTTCATCGACCTTGCTGTCTGTGACTGTGTTTATTTCTGGAATGATATTGAGGTCAACAGATGTCTGATAAGAGAGAAGATTACCGCTGGCGCCCTTTGTCACATATACTGGAGCTGTTTGTTATTTTGTTTTTAGATTCAATTTGTGCTTGGAACTTGCCTAATAAGGTAACTTTACTAGCCACCATATGCATAGACTTTGGTGTGTGCTCTCTTAAGATGAACTTTATTTTGAAGCTTTTGAGTACGTGTTTTCGTCAATTACATTTATTGATGATCCTGTATCAATTAATGCTTTAATTTTTACAAGCCGTTGATATGCACTTTCAGCCTTGGTCTTTGTAATTGCATAGAATTGACGATAGTCCATATATTTCGTTTTCATCTTCACTTTCTTTGTCCCTTATCACTTTCACTTTGTGAGCTGTCATTAAGCTGGCATGTGAAGTTATTGTCCCGTTTCTTTGACAAGCACACTGCTTCAAAATTGATTTTTCTTTGAGCAATATGTACATGTTTTTCCACTGGCTGGGCATTTTTCCTGATTTTGTGTGGATATTCATAGCCACAGTATCTGCATATTTGATTCCTTAATGATGTGTCTGCGTCTTTCTTTTTGCGCCTTTTGATTTTGTCTTTGTCGTGATTTCATAGCATTAACGACGTCATATTTTGCTTGACCTTCAATTTCAGAATGCTTGTTGATCTGATAGTTCTAGTGTCCTTGCTTCTTTGATGAGACTGTCTAATGTCAGGTCATCGCGTAGTGCTTTGCGACGCAGTCGAGTTGAGGTGCAGCCTTGAATGATTTGTGACTTTAATTTCTTTGTCTGTTTCCGAAAATTCACAGTTTATACTTAAGTGTCTTAAACGTGTGTGAAAACTATCAATGTTTTTCATTAGATTTCCTGTTTTGCCTGTCTAAATTTATATATCTCAAATTCTGTGTTTTTCTTGGGGCAAAGTACTCTGTTAGCTTTATCTTTGCTGATTCGTAGTCATCCCCTGTATTCTGCAGTACGTCGAAGATGTCATTTACCTCTTCCCCTGCATAGTGTAAGAAATAAGGCTCTCTGACGTTTTTTATCTTTAATGTCCATGCCAATCATTAAGTTTCGAATCGACCTGTCCATTTCCTCCATCTTTTGTCAACACCAGGTTCACTTACACCAAATGCTGGAAAAAACTGGCAATCCTTTGTGCCATACTGTCACTGTATCAGTATTATTTGATA